AATGTCATCATTCTTCTCCTTCTCTTTTGCCAGCTTAGCTCTGAGAGCATCTCTCTCAATCTCCACTTCAGCCAACCTCTTCTTCAGCCTATCAATCTCAGGATCCTTAGCCCAAATTTCTTGCACCAAAGCTTGCATTTTGCTGTTCACTGGTACCTTTTTGGATGAACCAGGTTTTTTGGGAGCGGTTTGAACTTCATAGTATGTAACGATCTGGCTGGTCATTTTAAGAATTAATGCCCCGATCCCCTATTAATTGCTTTCCCCGTGTTTGTTTCTGCTATTTTGATTTTCCGAGATGTTTGGTTTTGAGTTTCGGAGTGTTTTGGGACACTTACACCCTAAATGAGATTTTAAGTTTTAGAATTTGGACCGTAGTCGGAGCAGTGTGAAGACGGTCTCGGAATGGAATTTCGTTGGCTCTGTTAGCTCTGTTAGATGATTTCGGGTTTAGGGGCGTATTCAGATTGTGTTTTGGAGGTCCGTAGCTTATTTAGGATGAAATGCCGAAAGTTGAATTTTTGAAATTTCCAGTTTGATAGTTTGATATAGGGGTCGGAATGGAATTCCGGAAGCTGGAGTAGCTCCATAGTGTTGAATGTGACGTGTGTGCAAAATTTTAGGTCATTCGGATGACGTTTGATAGACTTTTTGATCGAAAGCATAATTTGAGAGTTTTTGGAATTCGGAGGCTTAAATCCATGGTTAATTCGATTTTCCAAGTTGTTTTAGGTGTTTTAAGGATTGGTATAAGTTTGGATAGTGGTATATGACTTGTTCGTGCTTTTGGTTGAGGTCCTAGGGGCCTCGGGGTGGTTTCGGATGGTTAACGGGAAGTTTGGATTTGGGGATTTGTAGCTAAAGCTGCTGAGTCTACTGTCATAACTGCACCTGCGGCTTGGGAACCGCAGGTGCGAGCCCGCAGATGCGGCCAAGAGGAAGAAAGGCTGGGGGTGACCAAATAGGGCACCCCGTGCAATTTTTACGACATAAAAAAAGTTAACCAAGGCTAAAAAATCAATTCCATAAGTCAAGTCTAGCCCAAAATAAAAGTCAACCTAAAAGTCAACAACGAGTCCACGTGGTCAAACCTAAAACTAAAGTCAAATATCGTTGACCTATACCCTTTTCAATCCAAATCTATGCTTATATCTCCATTTAGAGTCCAGTCAGATTATCAAAATCCAATTTAGGTGATTCTAGATTTAGATCTTAGATACCGAATTTCACCTTGAATTCATGTTCAAATGGTAGCTCCTAGGAGAGACTCATAAAATATTTTTAATTAGATCCAAATTAGAATGACTTATATGTCATAAACCAAAATGGATTGCGACGAGTAAACTCTAATGATGTAGTACATATCCAAATCACACTCACATGATCCAATTCATTACATTAATACTAATTTTGAGTAATCGAAGTGAAATAAGCATCAATAATTTTAAATGAGCCACAATCGTGAATATCATTTGCAAATCTGTTCATGTACCTATAATCCAAAAAAATACAAGTCGATCCATGGAACCTCTATGACGGTATGAATGAATAATTAAGGTAAGAGGTAAGGCCGGCACTATAAAAAAGAAATAAAATACAACAAAATGGTTTCAACAATCTCAAAGTGAGATCACCAAACATGGGAAGGGTAAACACATGGTTTCAACGATCAAAGTGAGATCACCAAATGTGGGAATGGTTCATGAATCCTCCTGATCAAATGTCAAACCTAACATCATGACACGATGCCTAAGTATGTACAATGACCCGACCAGTTATTTTGTGTTTTTGAGCCCCATTTCCCTATTTGATACTTCTCGTATGCTTCTTTGTTTTTGTTTTTTTTGACTTGGGTGATGGTTGATTTGATTTCGGAAAAGTTTTAGAGTGAATCGGAACACTTATGTCCAGGAATGAAAGCTTAAGTTATATGAGTTGACCAAGGTTCGATCTTTGCGTAAACAGCCTCGGAATGGTGATTTGATTGTTCCAATAGATTTGTATGGTAATTTTGGACTTGGACATATGTCTGGATTTGAATTTAGAGGTTCCTAAGTTGATTTGCTTTATTTGGCGAAAATTGAAAATTTGAAGGTTTGGAAGGTTCATAGATTTGATCAGGAGTTGACTTTGAGGCTATCGGGGTCGGATTATTGTTCCGAAAGTTGAAATAGGTTTTTTATATTATTTTGGACTTGTGTGTAAAATTTTGGGTTATTCCGAGTTTGTGAGACGTGGTTCGGCATGAGTTTTGAAAGTTGAAAGTTTGATTAGTTCATTAAGCTTGAATTAAGGTGTGATTTATGGTTTTGATGTTATTTTGTGTGATTTGAGACCTCAAGTAGGTTCGTGTTATATTTTGGAACTGGTTTGTGAAATTGGACGGGGCCCCGAGGGGCTCGGGTGAGTTTCGGATGGAATCTGGATCATTTTAGAGTTAGTTGGCAGTTCACGTCTAGTGTTGTTGCACCTACAAAGTTTTGGTCTGTAGGTGCGAGTCTGCAAAAGCGAATATGAGGATGCATCGGGATCTTGTATACAGGTGAGACCGAGCCCGTTGGACATCTTGGTCCTCGATAGAGTAAACAGAGCAGAGACGTGACCGCAAGGAACCAGAATCAGAGCAAGGAGTCCCTCGGGTCGGGGTCCAGCCCGAAACACCTGCCCTCGGACGAATCAGGACCATGTCCCCCCGGTCCGATTCGAATCCCAAAACTTTAGAGAGCATTACTAGATAATCGAGCACGACTAACAAAAGGTTGTGATATCCGTGCCCAGCCGGATGTCACGACGTGAATCACGGCTCGTATCGGCAAAAAATCTGTGATAAGAAAAATGGAAAACTTTTACATTTTATGGAATTGTACTAAGGGTAAAACTCCTCTACTATATAAAGAGGAGTCTGACTATTCGTTAAAAATATTATAAAATGCATATCAAGGCAAAATACTCTTATTTTCTTAGTTATTCAAAGTTCTTACTTTTGTTCATCAGTTTCTCGTTATTGCAAGCCCGATCGAAGGCATGCATTACATTAAAGCTGTTATTGAGTCCGGGTTCACTCCCCTAATTGGTTTGACGATTCATTATGTCTTTTATCTGTTTAATCTAACGCAATTTATCATTTGTATTGAATTAATTCACAAGGACTTTGAAGGAGAGTCGTGTGCCACTGGTTGAGCAAGGACTTTGAAGTCTTTTTGTTCCTACCGAACCCGAGGTCGAATCTCTATGGACGCATTAACTTGCTGCTAATGCATGCTTTTCATTTTCCTTATTTCTATTCTTTTTTATTCTTTGTTTTCTCTGTTGTGCTCTAAGCCTCACCTCTCTTTTTTTTCCTTTTATTCACTATATCTCCCTCTAGGGGTGTTCAAACCGAACCGGAAAACCGCACCAAACCGAAAAATCAAATCAAACCGATTAAAAAAATCAACTAGGTTTGGTTTGACTTGGTTTGATATTGAGTAAAAAAAACCCCGAACCAAACCGTCATATAAATATATAAATTTTATTTTATATTTTTAAGACTTTTTAGTGAATTTTCTTTAGAAAATTTAGAAATATTTGGGATCCTCTCATGTATTAACCTTGAAAGCGTAAATTAACGAAAAATTATTGTTAGACGACTAAGAAAATAATTATCATGTGTTACTAAAAAAATTCTTCCATTAGAATATTTTAATAGATCATATGTTTGTCAATTTTTTCCATATTTACCAAACATATATTCACTTATCAAAGTCTTATCTATAATTTTAACAAAGTAAGATTGAAATAATATTCATGTAACAAAAAAACCCGAAAACCCGAAAAACCCGACAAAATCAAATCAATCCAAACCGATATAGTTGGTTTGGTTCGATTTTGATAAAAACCGAACCAACGCGGTCCATGTGCACCCCGATCTCCCTCTCTATTGTTCTTCTTTCTTATTTTTATCTTTTGCTGCTTCTTCCTTTCTTTTAAAAAAGAATCTTTGCATTAACCTTCCTTTCCTTCTCTACCAATATGCTTACTTTAGACAATTTCTCTCCATAAGTCATTTGAAATAGTTAATAGATAGTATCTCCTTTTTTTATGACGCGGCATTATTATATACAGAGTATAATTGAGCAATATCACTCTCTTCTATTAACTTTTTAAAGAATTAAATGGCTTGAGTAGTAGACATTTTTGAGTTGATTCTCATATGTTGAAAATTTGAAGGTTTTGCTTTGCAAAGAATTGTTATACAAACTTGGGAATTAAGATTAAAAAATAAACTCGAGAATATGGAATGTAAATTGATCTAGTTAAACAAACAATTTGTAGTAGTTAGTCTATTTTAAGCAAATTTTATAATTGGAGGTGCTCTTTCATTAAAAAAAAATTCTGTGCAATTTTCTTTCATAATATAATTTAAATTTAAGCTTGAAAATAAAGTAACTAGACAAAATCGAACTTATTTGTTTATGCGTGTGAATAAAAGACGTAAAACCTAATCGGAGTAACAAAAACCTTATCGAATCGACTAGCTCTTTCTATTTAGTCTTTGTGGCTAGATGTAAATATACGGTTTACAGAAAAAGTTGCACCCACAACTAGGGGTGTTCAAACCGAACCGAAAAACCAAACCAAACCGATTAAAAAACCCGACTAGGTTTGGTTTGACTTGGTTTGGTATTGAGTAAAAAAATTCGAACCAAACCGACATATAAATATATAAATTTTATTTATATTTTTAAGACTTTATAGTGATTTTTCTTTAGAAAATATAGAAATATTTGGGATCCCCTCATGTATTAACCTTGAAAGCGTAAATTAACGAAAAATTATTGTTAGACGACTAAGAAAATAACTATCATGTTTTACTAAAAAAATTCTCCCATTAGAATATTTTAATAGATCATATGTTTGTCAATTTTTTCCATATTTACTAAACATATATTCACTTATTAAAACTTTATCTATAATTTTAATACAGTAAGATTGAAATAATATACATGTAACAAAAAAACCCGAAAAATCCGACAAAACCGAACCAATCCAAACCGATATAATTGGTTTGGTTTGGTTTTGATAAAAACCGAACCAACCCGGTCCATGTACACCCCTACCCACAACTTCTAAATTCTGGATCTGCCTCTGGACATAGCACCAGTGGTGGGAGCCGGCCAGGTAGTTAGGCAATGCAGTTGCGTCACACCCGCGCAATAGCACTAAACAATATGGTCACCCCTTCCCTTCAATGTAATCTCACAAGGCATGGCATGATCACAAAGCTTTGACAATGCCTTTTCACCGTGGTCGCGCCAGGAAGCCGCGATCGGACAGGTGTCTGCACTAGCTCCAAAAATCTGCAAAAACTGAAAATTCCAAAATATGCCGAAACAACCTCGAGGCCCTTGGGTCCAAACTCAAACCATACCAATAGGTCTCAAATATTATATACCTACAGAAAATCTCGAAAAATAAGAGAGGACATTAAAACTCAAAACGAGGGGTTGAGTTATTACATATATAAAATCCGATCTCCCTCAACTTTGGATACCAAGTAGTCCATGTTCATGTTTTAATTAAATAAACTCATTTCCCATTTAGACTCATCACCGAAATGAGTAACCTTAAAACTTTCCTAGATATTACCAATAAATTTCCGTACTCTTTTCATTCAGCTTACAACACAAAATTTTGGAAGGACTTTAAGCAGTTAAAGAAACAAAACCCAAATTTCCTGAAGACAATATAATACTAGACCTAGTAGGTGTGCAAGCAATTTTCAATGGGCAACTTGGTTGTTAATGTGAAGAGACATAAAAAGAACTCCAAATCCTAATAAAAGGGCAAGTCTATTTCCAGTCAATGCACTCCGCAGCAGCCGTGAAGTTCACAACATAGTTTCTGACAACCAATACCTTGACAGTCATCAATTAAAATTCGAGGAATACTGCATGAACCTACTACTAATTTGATGATTCAAATTCCAAGAAGAAGCAACACATTTGTTTCTCTTACTACAAGAATTACAGGTGAATTAGCACCTAAGTTACGCGATAACTACTTTCGTTATACGGAAAACATTGATTTGATTGTACTGATGCTATTCTTTATTTAAAAGATATTAGTACGTCCTTTCGTGTAGGAAGTTGGCTTTACTTTGTTTAACTTTTGATTCAAGTTTCAATTAATGTTGTAGTTTATTGATAATTAGTTATTTTATTCGTATAAATATTTGTATCGAGCTTGCAATGATATGTATCTGATCAGCTGTTCTCGTTTCCCTCTTTACTGACGTGACTAATAAGAGTTGAATAACTTCTTGATCATTATATCCAACTCTAAGAAAGACCTAAAACCTCCATCAGTTTTGCTGTCCGCCAAATCCCAATGACCACTAACATTATATCTTTTAATGAAGTATATATAAAACCATAAACAATTACACATGATTATAAATATATTCCCTCCATTCTATTTTATATGACACTAGTTTTTTTTATTAGTGCATTTCGAAAAAACATCATCTTTTTATATGTAAAAACAATTTAACTTTGAACTTTCTATTTTACCCGTAAAAATACACGTAAAATAATATCATGGCACAATTAAGACAAAAAGTTCTGAATGTCCTCTTTCTTTCTTAAAGAGTGTATAATTAAACTACGCCACACAAATTGAAAGGG